CTCACCTGGAAGAGGCCATGGTGGTGGACCACGCCGTCCTGCGTGTGGAGGAGGGAGAGCAGAGAGTACTCGGTGTGGAGCAGCATCTTGCCTTGCCTCTCCTCTTGGCTCTCTAGTCCTTGGTCCCCCCGTTCCTCCAGGGTGAGGATCTTCCCGCGCGAGCGCGGAATGGAAACACAGCCTCACTTTACAGAGCACAGGCCTGCACCAGCAGCAACAGCGCCCCGGCTCCATCTCAAACATGCCCGCACCCGCTGGCGATGGGACTTAGGCTTTCTCTCGGGGGGTTCAGGGTGTGCCGTGAGCTACTCCATTCCCAAAGGATGGCGGTGGGCTGGGGAGGGGCCGGGGGCCGGGGCTGGGATGGCAGGATGTGCCCCTGGGGGGCCCCTCACCTTCAGTTGGTAGAAGTCATCTGTGCCATCCTTCCTCGCCAAACACTGCACGATGCTGGGCACCGGTGAGTTGCCCAGGCGGGGACCTGTGGCACAGAGACCAACTTACCTTTGGGAAGGCCTGTCTCCATCTACCAGAGCACTGTGTCACCATGTGGCCTGGGGTCCAGCCCCCCCTTCAAGAGGGTACCAAGTTCACAGCTAGGAGCCAAACCAGCCCCAACCCCCACCCCACCTCCCACTGGGCTGTTCTCAGAGTCTTCCTCCAGAAGTGAGGGGGTGGGGTGCATCTGCCTGAGATACCCCAACTCCCACAGAGAGAGCATCTCTGGGGAACATCTGTGGAAACAGGAGAGCCCTCTGAGTCAGAAGCTCCAGGTGAGGAGCCAGGAAGCCAGGGCTCCTGGACATTCCCAGCGGCTCTAAGCCTCTGGGAGTGCCTGCTGTGGGGCGGCTGCACTTCTGCAGATGTGCACTGCTCCCTGCCCGGCACTGGACCAAGACCTGCCATCTCACGGTGCTGCTGCCCTGCTAGAAACCCATCGCTGTTCTTACACATTTTTAATAAGTCATTTTACTGGGAGCTCTTACAACAATCCAGACGTCAATTGTATCAAACACATTTGTACATATGTTATCATCATCTTTTTCAAAACATTTCCTTTCTACTTGAGCCCTTGGTATCCGCCTCCCACCCCCCATCATTGTTCCTAACATGGGACCTCAGCCCCTCTCTGTGGCCTGCAGTGGACATTCCCCCACCCCCCACCCCCCACCCCCCGCACCCTCTTCAGCCCCTCCACACATGAAGCCTCTCCTGCCTCTGCCTCTGCCTCTGGGCCTTGAACTTGCTCTTCTTTCAGTGCGGAATGCCTTTCCCTGGGCGGGCTCCTCTGCCTGCGTGGCAGCGGCAATGTCTCTTCCTCCGGGAGCCGCACTGGCTCCGCTACCTGTGGGCTCATCTCCCTCCCCACTGTCCCCTCACTCCCTTCTCTCCCTCTGCCGGGCACTGCCCTGCCTCTTGTTTATGCAGTTTCTTTCTCCGAGAGGGCAACCAGCGCACAGGCCTGGGGCACAGCAGGCAGGCGCCAGTAACAGAATGGACGGAGCTGTACCTGTCCTGCCCCCAAAGCTGCCCTGTCTCTGGTCGCCCGGACCCTGACATGCTTGTCTGGAGGCCCTGCTGCTGCGTGGTTTCTGCTCCGAAGGGAAGGGGTGTTCTAACACGTGCTTTGTGAAATTAATCACTTTCCCAGAATGTTATCAAGGACCCCAGTGTGCCTGGGTGAGTAGATCTGGGGGTCAAGGGCAGCTGTGTGCCTCCCCTGGGCACAGGGGGGCCTCCTGGGGGGCAAACACTGGCCTCTCTGGGGAAGAGAGAGGCAGTCAGTGCTAAGGCTGGTGGGATGACGACAAAAATCACAGGTCTTGGTCTAGTGTGACAGAAGGCTTCTGGCTCTCCCACCTGCATAGCCCTGTACCACCCGCCGTGGGCACAGCCCCCCCTCTGAGCAGACGGTGCCCTGACAGAGGACAAAGGCTTACCGAGGATGAAGGGCCCGGCTCGCTTCGCATGATTTCCGGAGATGCCACTTCCCAGGGCCTTTGCCTTGGCTGATGTCTCCCCAGCTCCTCTGTCCGATGCTCTCCGCTTCATTCTCGGCTCTGTGCAGACAGACAGACAGGTCCCTTTTCAGTGAGCAAGCTACCGAGTGGCCCCATGCTAACCAGCACCCGGCTGTGCACGCCTCTGGCTCAGGGCCGCTGGGGATGCCTCAGGGCGGCGACAGTTTCTGCCTCTTCCTCCCCTTCCCGGAGGAGCTGCTCAGTTCCCAATGGCAGAAAACGAGTGCTCTTGACTTGAGATTCATTAGGGGCTCAGGGTGCGTGCACTTCGAGGCGGCCTGCGCTGGTCACAGAGGAGGGTGCTTGTCAAAACGCAGGCAGGGGGAAGCCTCCCTGTGTAGGTGGTGAGCCAAACCGGAGCCCGAGGAGACCGGCACTCCCAAAGTGAGGCTTCCCTCTGCCTGCACCCCACTTCATCTCTAGGGAGCCCGGGGACACTCGGGCTCAGGACATCGGAGCCACAATCCTGAGGCTCCTCCCAGGCTCTCCTTGCTGTCTAGCCTCCCTCGGGTGGGGGACTGTCCACAGGTGTCTGGTCACCAAATGCGCCTCTTCCGGACACATACTGAAGGGCAGCACTAAAGTCTGGGTCAGCTGAACGGGCCCTTTCCCTCAGGCGTCAGGAGGAAAGGCAGGTGCGTGAGCCAGATCCTGGAAGGCAGGGACCGCTTGACTTGGATTAAGAATAAATAAATAAAAACAGAAACATGACGTTTCTCCTCCTCCCAGCCCCCCAAAGTCCAACCCCAGGGCCCGTGGAGCCCAGGGCCCAGGGCGCGGAGCCCTCCCTGAGGAGGTGCTACTGGAGGCTGTTCCGCACAGGGCGGACAGGGGCAGGATCCAGCGGACCGACAGCCACAGGGAGGGAGGGAGGAGTCATCACCCCCCAAACTTCTAACTCTGCCTCTTACGAGAGTCAGTGGTGTCCCCGGCAGGAACGTGAGAGAACAGAGGCACAGACAAAGCCGCCAGTGTCCATCATCTACCTGCCCACTAAGGAGGCCCTGGCTGGTGCAAACAGCTAAGTGCGCGACCACGAGTTGAGAAGCTGCCGACTCGGGGCCTGCTACCTACAGCTCCCCACCCTGGAGGCGCTTGGTGGCCAAGAAGCACAACACCTGACTCCCCAGGTGGAATCATGGGAAGCTCCGGGCCTATGGGTGTGAATGGGCACCCATGGCTTTCGCTATGGCACAACTGTGCCCACACTGGCATGCCTTCCGTCAGCTCCCTGCTTTTCCTAACTGGAATGTCATGAGGGTGCATTTGATGGCATGTGAAGCATGTAGCAATGAAGCTGTAAAACACACACACACACAAACAACTGTTATTATCCCAGGGTGACGGTACTCTACAGCCACTCACCAAACAGATCAGCGTTTGCCCCCCC